GTGTGAGGATCTAACCTGAGAAAAGCACTATTTCCTGACTCATTCTGGCACTTGTCCAGAGACTCATCAACACCTTCCCTGACGTTTTAATGAGACTAGACAGCAGACTGCAGGGCACAAGTTGCTCTGATAGCAGGATTTAACATCTCCTCTGTGGTTTCACCATCCCATCAGGAAACTAACTCTGAAGAAGGATTTGTTGTTTGATACAATAAACTGTCCTTCAACCTATATGGCCCTGGGATTTTCTTCTCAAAGTATAACTCGAAACTCACATAAGAGTGATCATCTTTACCGTCAACTCTCTTTACACCTTTATGATAATTAATGGAAGCAGTACAAGTAGCAGTACAAGGAACTGTAGATGCATATCTTTATGAATTGAATATTTGTTCATTTTGAAATAAACAGAAAAATCATCCATTAAGCCATTAATTTAATTTAGATTCAAAGCAGATGTGGATTAGCGGTTGAAATGATGGTTGATTTAATCTTATTCCACTACACAGTGGCACTTCATGTGTAAATATATTCAATAATTAGTGAGTACCCACTAAAAATGACATTATGAGATATTTATATGACTAAACAATGTCACCTAAAACCCCTTATATAGAAATAACAAAATTTAATGCATTTGCAGAGGTACAAAAGAGATTCAAAACCTAACTTAGATAAGTCAGCCAGTGGTGGCGTGCGGAACGAGGTAACTTACTTGAAAGTTCAATAAGACACTGCAAAGAGCTCTACAATTCCCGAGTATAAATACTAGAATAAGAAAGAAGACAACAATGACTCAGTAAGACTAAAAACACCTCTGGATGCTTCTTTTAGGATAGGGGCTCTATTCTCTAAATTGGAGAGACCGTCTTTAAATATTGCACTGAATAAGGAGAAAAGGATCCAAATTCCACAACGTCCTATTTTAGTTTAATCATTAGTATGTGAATGTTGATGAGAGTGGAAAAAAGTAGTGCAGCTTGTAAAATTGTATAGATTTAAATGTTCTCTATGAGTGTTTGTCTGAATAGGTGTTTGTGGCCTGTAGTGCTTTCAGTGTTCAGTTAGACTCGGAAAAATATTTAATGACAATGCATATATTATACAGAGCAATATAGTCCCTCTGTTTAATGGGCTCTTCCAAAGTCAATGGTGTCACTATTACTATTTGCCACCATGCAGCAGTTGATTGTACAGGGTGAAATTTGTATTTTGCAGAAAATCAACAATACATTTTTTATTTTTTTCTAACAAGTGGTGTGAGTCCTTGACAAAGAACCAGGATTAACAATCATCTTGTTGTATCAGTTTCCACTAGGACAAAATTCTAACACTACAAACAATTTATCCACAAATAACTCCATTACAGCCTCTCTTTAGAGTTGTTAGGGGCTTTTGATTCAGATTTTGAATTATTTGCAGAGAAAAAGTGAATAAAAAAGGACTCTGACTCACAGATGACATGAAAATGATTAGGTACGTGACAAAAAAATATCATAAGCCATATGCATTCTTCAGTCTGTTGAGGTACACAAGCTGATGAGAACATTGCTCACCCTACCAGCACTGCCCCTTCATTCCTTTCCTCTCTCTTCAGATCAACACAAGATGCCAAATGGATTTGCATCATCTGGATAATATAATTGTAATCTATTATGAGCATGACAAACAATACAAATTGGACTTCCAAAGTATCCTGACTCATTTATGCAAAGGAGGAGTAATAGAGTCGCCATGGAAACATCTATGACACATAACTTCAATGAGACTTAACTTTTCTTGGGTTTTCAGCAGAATTGCTTTCAAAGTGTCAAATTTCAGGAAAACATATTGGAATTTAAAAATACACTTTGTTCTATTATTTCTGTAAGTCTTGAGCATACATGCACGACTTATATCATCATTCATCACTCACAGACTTATGTTTTAATTGTTTGCACAAACAAATAAACAATACACATCTGTTATCAGCAGATATACAGGAGGTGATTCTCAAAGAGCTGAGACTGACTTTTGTACTTCCATCTTCCAAATGCCTTGTCTTGTTTTTGCCTGGAAAATTAAATAAAAACTTCTCTCAATATCAAATCCCATGCAGAAACTTACAGTTGCAAACAAGAAAATATAATGGAAAGCAATGGCAAAACCTCTCAATGTGTGAGTGACACTTCTGTATTGTGCTGTTGATTATCTAACTAAGAAAAACAAATGAGCACCGTAATTTTTAGCCCCACCGAGTCATATCCTCGATTTGAGATTACAAGCAAACCCAAAAACATTCTGAGAAATGGGCAGTAAACTCTATATTCTTAAAAAAAAAAGAAAAAGAAAAACACCACTTACTAACATTGCTTTTTATCATCATGTAATCATTATCGTTTCTGACTTGCGGTACTGTGCAGGTCTAGACTATGCAAAATATTGGTTATTAATTGGGTTGGACTTGCCATTAAAATTATTTTTCTCATCAAATACTTCTCATACAAATTTGCGATTTCCAGGTTGATCATATACTTGACCCCTAGACTATTGGCATATCATAACAGAATTTCACCACCTCCCCAAATTCATTGTGTGTGCATCTTTGAGGACGGCAAGTATTTCCTAAAGTATATAAATTCTTATATAGCAAAGGTCATGGCTGGCACCTGGCAGAATGCTTATTCATGGCATTTATCATTTTTACTGTCAATCAGGCTTACACGTGCACAATACCATGATAGGTTATCCATGCCATTAACAGAAGACACAGAGACGTCAGACAACAAAGGCGAGGCTGTCTGAATGGTGAGATGGTAATGTGTTTGCAGGGGAAAAAAAGGAGGGTTGAGATCAGGAAATGGCAGGAAGAGAACTGACGTTCAGTGCTGGGATTTGTCTTACATTTCCCTAATGTTGTCCCTATTATCATCCACAAAAGGAGTTATATATCTTTTTATTTAATTTATTTAATTTAGGTCTTGAACTGTGTCTTCATACATTAATCTGTGCCACCATTGGCGCCGAGGAGGGGAGTCGTGAAGTGCATCACATTAACTGTATTGACATAAACAGCTCAGCAATCACATTGCCTCTGCCTTTGATGAGGGTTTAAGTAGGAAGCTATCGAGAGACTTATGGAGAAATGTTCCCATGGGATCAATAGATTAGAGCCCTAACTAATCTTAGTGAGCAAGGCAGTGGCTCTCAAAACTACAGTGATATAACTAACATATGGTGTGCAATCACTCCTATGCCTTGAAAATGTAATTATTCTTCACTCTAATATGGATCCTATACCAAACATATGTAATAGTATCAGATGTGTTCCATATGTCATATAGCATGACCTTTGGAAGACTAACTTGCAAAAAGCAATACAGTACACAAGTAGAATACATATTTATGCTACGTTAAACAATATACTTCACCTTCCTGTTCCTATATCAATTTACATCATGATAGGCTTCCTGATATAACAAATCTACAGAGAGGTGTCCTTGACAGGGGCTCAATTAGACCTCTCTGTGAGCAGTTAAACCCAGAATCATTAATCAGACCATTTCAATTAAAGTCATCTAATAAAAGATTAAATAATTACCTGCAAGCTTATGGAGTCATACATCCAAGTTATGGGATGACATTGGTCATCAGTTTCAGGATGTCAGTCAACTGCCAGATATGACATAGCAAAAATGAATAAGATACAATAAGTACAGGATGATTTAAGCTAATGTAAGAAAAAAAAACAGGCAAGTGTTTATAGATTTGTCTTGTCTGATATTTCTCTTGAGCTTGGCAGTGCATTTTTTTCAGAAAATGTTTTCTTTTTTTCCCTTTTTTCATGCTCACTCTTTCTGCTGAAGTTTATGAAAACAAGTCTAATAGTTGTAACTCAACCCCTTACACGGACAAAGACAAACGCATATACATAAAATAAAGCAGACTTTTCAGAACATACAAACACAACATGCATTCATATAAGTACAGAAACACATACCCTAACACACTGCAAAGGGGCAGTTAGGTTAAATAACTGTCATTATCAGACTGTCTGGCTGTAGAATGGAGGTGACCCTGGACAGCTCTCCGTCTTCCAGCTCTGCTGCTGCACTTTAACAGTTAATTGATGTCACAAGTGATTGCTGATCAAAGACTTTCTAACCAAACCGGCCCCCTATTTTAAGCATGCTCCACTGCTTTTCTATTAGCAAAGCACGCATATCTAACTAATGTAGGGGGATGGGAGCTACGCCCTTCTTCTCCCGTCAAACCCATCTGCAAACAAAGCACAGATACCCCTCCCACAACACACATACACACACACACCCTATCCTTCCTTTATGATTATTAGCTCTTGCTATGCACAAACCAAATCACAGAATTCTGCACACATGCAAAGATATCCTAAGCTGCCACCTGATATGCCAAATTTCAGACAGCCGTAAGCAGAAATAGAAGCAAATCTTATTTACCTCGCGAAAATCCTTTTTTTTTTTTTTAAACCATTCTCCCTCAATATTAATGACACTTTCATGATTCCTTCCCTAAGTACATGCTAATTAGAAAATGCTAAGTATAATAGCCGTTGTGTTATAGTCAGTCACACACATTTTGGGACTTTAAAAGATGTAACTGTGTTGTCTGTCAGTAAAAAAAAACTATTTGATAACTCTAATTATTAGAACTTAAAATATGCAGAGCTTCAGTGCCTCATCTGTCAGAATTAATTGTATAATAGTATAGGAAAATCTGTCAATACACCAGTGATCTATAATATGATCACCCATATATTACTGAATAGGTCATTTTCATAGCATCTGAAAAGCTTTTTGTCACGTTATGCCTAAGGTTGAAAAGATACTGATTCAGGCCCTGAAAACACAAGGTGACAAGGAATTTTGAGATTAACTGAAGTTCATTAAAAGAATGCAACAAAATGTGTGGCAAGGCTGGATAAATAAACTGGATCACTCACCATAACAAATCCCAAAGGACCAAGAGCTAAAACAAAAAAACACATAGGAGCCAGGAGAAGCAACAGGGACCAGGCAAGACATAAAGTGGGAATCATGGCTGGAGGAGAAGGTTGATATGGGCCTGAAAAGGACAAGGAACTGACAAAGGTAGTGGGCAAGAGGACCAAAGGGCTGTTATATAAACAAAAGTTAATATTGAATGAACAAATAAAAATACAACAGAACCATGAGGGAGCTCTAAATTAAAACATGGAAATAAAACTAGAAACTCAAGAAAGGAAAATGTTTAACAAAGATGATAAAATAACCAAAATAACAGTGAAACTCTGATTTGACTGGTTTACAAAAATGTCAGTTAAGGTTAGGATAGCATGTGTCAAATAACATCCATGCAGAAGGTTAATGACCGCTCTATTTATGCTCATACAACTCTTGTGTTGACTGATCTTTTCTGTACAAGTCATACAAGAACACAGCTGCTTAAGAGTGTGATTCCCCTATAATTGTAACATAGTCTACAGGGACCACTATGTTGGGTCTAAATACGACTCCTAGTTCCTCACTATCAAGAGTTTAGTTATTAATCGACAGTCTGCTAATCCAGTGGATCTGCCCCCGATTTAAAATGAGACACGTCAGCCAACACAGCACAACCCTACAACAGAGCCTTGAGGAACTCCGGCCAAATCTCATCCACCCCAGAGCCCTGCCACCGTGGAGCTTTTTAACCACCTTGGTGACCTCAGCCCCGGAGATTGGAAAGCCCAACGCCAGATCACCGGGTTCTGCTTCTCCAGTAGAAGACGTGCCCCAGGGATTAAGGAGGTCTTTGAAGTACTCTGCCCACCGACCCACAACTTCACGAGTTGAGGTCAAAGGCACACCATCCCACTGCTGGATGGTGGACCAGAAATGCCTCAAAGACAGAAGTCTTTTCCCATGGCCTCTCATTCACTTGGGTGAACTCCAACATACATGCCCTATGATGGGGGGCAAAAAGTATTCCCACTCCCACTTGGTGCCTCTCACTGAGGGCAACTCCAGAATAGAAGAGTGTCAAAGAGACTGGTTCCAGAGCCAGAGCTGTGCATCGAGGTGAGACCAACTATTTCTAGCTGGAATATCTCCGCCTCGCACACCAACTCAGGCTCCTTCCCCAACAGAGAAATGACATTCCATGTCCCAAGAGTCAGCTTCTGCGGCCGGGGATCGGCCAGCCAAGGTAACCATATCTGGCTGCCTCCCATACTACACTGCACCTGACCCCTTTGGCCCCTCCCATGGGTGCTGAGCCCATCAGAAGGGAGACCAATGTGACCCTTCGGGGTGGTGGCCGAGCTCCATGGGTGAAAGCCCGGCCACCAGGCACTCGCCAGCGAACTTTATCCTAAAATGCCAAATGTATCACATTTTATACATGCGGTTTCTGAAATGTTTTGCGTCTGACACCTTTTGCATAATTTAATGGTAAAAACTTTGCTCAAAATCCTAATGTACACAATTAGATACACCTGATAACAGGGCGCAGAAGACTACATGAAAAATAATCTTGACTTATCGCATAGTAATAAATTATTAATATCAAAAATGTATTTCTGTTTTTTCTTTTTACATTTATGTTAAAAGGCCAAATAAAGACTTTAAACAAAAAAAAAAGAAATTCTGTTTTGTTTTATTCTTGGATCAGGCTTTAAAGGGTTAACCTCCATGGAATGTAAGGATTATTTTCCCAAATCTCTGTTAAAGAATGAAGACAGATCCATGGAAAATTGTTCTTTATCAGAACTTTTTTTTTTTGTGTTTTCCAAACAAAGATTTAGGGTTATGGTTAGAGTCCATCGATATGTCAAGACAATACAAAGTGTCCAAAACATGTTGCATCTAAACTGCTGTTCTCATACTGCACTATATGAGCAGAGTTAGTAGAGCCAGTTATATATTACACAAAAAACTAGATAAACGCATCATTCTCATCGCTCTTGCACAGCGATTTCCCAGTAGCAGGTCTACTTGATGAAGTGCCAAATCCCTTCACTGTTATTCTCCATGAGCCAGTCAGGTGTCCACATGCATGAGTGTATTCATCAGTCAGATTTCGCTAGCCCGGCTCTTTTTATCCCTATTCTTCCTTTTCCTTCTTACTGTGCTCAGGTGTGAATGAAGTTGGTCTGAGATTGGAATGAGATTGGTTTGATTTATCTCCTATGAATTGCTTATCAGTAAATTGTGATGATTACAAAAATAACCAAGGTAATGCTTATAATGTACACACACTCAGTGATTAACTAGATTGTTGACGTGATACTGACTGATACCGACATGATTAAGAGTAATCCTGGAAAACCAAAACTGCAATTGACTAATATCAAGGAAGAAAGAATATAAGTGGCATATGCTACAAAAGGATGAAAATAAAGGCAGTAATTATAAAAAAGCCTTTAGCTTGCCATTTCTCTCTCTGACATTACCTTTAACCTAGCAGTTTGGTTTGTTTGGGTGGCAGAATTAGAATACTTTGAATTCTCATTCAGTTCCATTAGTCATATCTAAATCTATGCTGCTTACAGTTAATCTTTAAAAACTGCAGACATAAAGATATGGAAGATCGGGTGAGAAATGTGTCTTCTGCTACCCTGCCTTTCCACTTCCAAACTTCACATAACCCCTCGTCTTACACATACATGTGCTACCTCAAATCATTGGTGAGTTACTGGAAAACATTTTGCACACGAGATGAATGGACACTCCACTTTTATTCAAGGGTTGCCAACACAGCAATCAAGGGTTCAGCAAATGAAAATGCCTGGATGAAGGGTGTCCCAGACGAGTAACCTTGGACATCCTATTTTAGTTCTTCAAAGAGGGAATTAATAGAATTAGGTGGTCTTAGATAGACCAAGAGTCTGACTGAAAATGACATATGCAGCTAATAGTGTTCTGGCATAACACCAATGAGTCATTGTATAACTTTTGTTGATTTTCATACATATATATATACATATTATTTTTTCCTCCAAAGGAAATATGTATAATATTTCTTCCAAAGGAAGGTCAGTATCACTATGAAAATTTACACTGGGGTCTTTGGTCAAGTCTTGTACCATTATTTCAATGTAATGCCTGTTTAACAAAGTAACTGTTCAATGTGCATGTGTGGATTTTCAATTTACTGACAACCTAATGCATTTACGCGCTTTTTTGTGTGCTCCATGTGACATTCTGGCACTCGAGCTGGCTCCACATACCTTTTCTGTTTCACCATCTCTCTTCTGCAATTAACTAGATTGGACCCACCTGCCATCACCTCCTCTTATACTCCGCTCTCACCTGCCTCGAGTGCCAGATCGTCTCTAAACCCTTCGGTAGAACATCCAGCATTCTGTATCCTGATCGCCTGTTTACCTCGACCCGTTTCCGTCTGACTGATTCTGTACCCGCCTGATCCACGCCTGACCCGTTTGCCTGACTCCGAGCCTGCCTGATCCCTGTCTGCTTCTCCTGCCTGTTCCGGACTGCCTTCCTGTTTTTCGACCACGCCTGCCCCCGACTCTGAGTTCTGCCTGCTCCCCCACGGACTGCTTCTCTGGTTCTGACCCTGGTACGTTCCTGGACATTGCTTCTGGATTATCCCACAGCCGAGCGGCGAGCCTTCCGGCTGCGAGCCGGTCTATGCTGGCCACGCCCCTCCGGGCTTTCCCCACGCTCCTGCTTCAAATAAACTCTGTTAACCTACTGTTCCGTGCCTGGGTGTTTTTGGGTCCCACCACAGTTAATTGCAGAAGAGAGATGGTGAAACAGAAAAGGTAGGTGGAGCCAGCTCGAGTGCCAGAATGTCACAGAGCCCCCCCTCAGTCATCGGTCCCTTCCCGATTGTGAGGGTGGTCAACCCAGTGGCGGTGCGCCTCCGCCTGCCGCCGGCCATGAAGGTGCACCCTACCTTTCACATATCTCGCATAAAACCTGTTAAACTTTCCAGTCTGGCGCCCGCCTCCGCGTCCCCGCCTCCCACCCGGCTGGTTGACGGTTCTCCTGCCTACACCGTACGGCGGATACTCAAGTCCCGCAATTGGGGCAGGGGTACCCAGTACCTGCTCGACTGGGAGGGCTACGGCCCTGAGGAACGCCAGTGGGTCCCCGCCAGCCGGATTCTGGACAAGTCCCTCATAAGGGAGTTTCACAGGGCCCACCCGGACCAGCCCAGGGCGTCTGGGATCCGCCCTTGAGGGGGGGGCTCTGTGACATTCTGGCACTCGAGCTGGCTCCACCTACCTTTTCTGTTTCACCATCTCTCTTCTGCAATTAACTAGATTGGACCCACCTGCCATCACCTCCTCTTATACTCCGCTCTCACCTGCCTCGAGTCCCAGATCGTCTCTAAACCCTTCGGTAAAACATCCAGCATTCTGTATCCTGATCGCCTGTTTACCTCGACCCGTTTCAGTCTGACTGATTCTGTACCCGCCTGATCCACGCCTGACCCGTTTGCCTGACTCCGAGCCTGCCTGATCTCTGTCTGCTTCTCCTGCCTGTTCCGGACTGCCTTCCTGTTTTTCGACCACGCCTGCCCCCGACTCTGAGTTCTGCCTGCTCCCCCACGGACTGCTTCTCTGGTTCTGACCCTGGTATGTTCCTGGACTCTGCTTCTGGATTATCCCACAGCCGAGCGGCGAGCCTTCCGGCTGCGAGCCGGTCTATGCTGGCCACGCCCCTCCGGGCTTTCCCCACGCTCCTGCTTCAAATAAACTCTGTTAACCTACTGTTCCGTGCCTGGGTGTTTTTGGGTCCCATTACAGTTCGTAACACTCCAGTGATAAATATCTTCATTAAGTGTTTGCTTTAGGGTACATTTTACCAAAAACTGCAATTTATCAACATGAAAACTCTCTTCAGAATTATTTATTCCATGTCATCATATTAGTCGGTGTCCTTACAGTCCTTAATGGAATTCACTGTTCTTCACTGTCTGTTTATCGGTTGCATCACTTATGCACATTAAGAAAAAAAACGTATTTTTTTTAAATAAAAAGCCATGAAGCATGTACACCAATACAGCAGGGTATGTAATTTCAAGAGTTTGATGCTCATTCAACCAACCCTTATAGTGTAATGTTTCTCTTTTGC